AATATTTTTTTAGCATTTTTTTTGCGCTTACAAGTCGGCGGGCACGAGAAATTACGCTGAAATAAAATTATATTTTTATTTCATTTTTGGCTCTTGTTCATTTGGCGGGTTCGCGAAGCAAGGGGTAATAAAAGTCTGGCCTTAATAGCAGGCCATCATCCTGTAACAACAGGCCAAAAAATAAATAAAAAAGCTCTCAGCAGTATGAAGCGAAGCAGCGAGACCGGTGTGGGCTGTCAAGAGGGCAGAAAGTAGATGACCAATTTGGGCTTATAGCAGGCCATATGGCTGGCGGTCAGCTCTTAACGAAACCCCTGAAATATTAACATCTCATGTTATGCATAAAATTATATTTTGAATACTGCAAAGTTTGGACTTAAACAGTAATGCACACACACTGAATGATTCGCTCAATATGGATGTAATTTTGTATTTGTGTATACTTTGCAGTATATTCTTATGATCGTCTTATCTTGCATTTCATTTGCAGGTGATTTATTGCTATCATTGGCATCAAAATACAAGAACAGTACATTTATAAATCTGATGGACAATGTGGAGGGTGCCGAGAAGTTGTACAAGAGAGTGAAACAGATGAACTTAACAAATCTACTTGTGGCTGCACTACCTGATACTGTTGATGATACACTAACACACAAATTGGTCGAAAGTCCAGAGTTCTTCAGATACCAATTTATTGGTGAGAGTTGTAAAACTGTAATATCATTTTATTAATATTTGAAATATTAAAAAACATTCAAATCATCACACTCTAGTGGCTGCCTTACAGAGTAAAGTTCTCATATTTTTCGGATGAGTGTACCAGTATGGTAGCATATATTGTAATTGTTTTAGTTTATCATTTACCATGCAGATTTCCATACACCAAGATCATGATGAATAAGTATCTTGCAATTCTTTAGAATACACAAACACAGTCAGCTCAAACTCCAACATCAGCCTAGCAAGATTAAAGGTTACATCCATTGTTATATCACTACTTCACAGAGATGCCATTATAACCTATGCATAGGAAGGTTGGGTTATGTTATACATGACAAACATTCCACTTTGCAGTCAAGTGTTAATTTCTATTTGTCCAACTAATCATATTTTTTTGTTTTCTTTTTCTTTCTCAGATTTAGAAGAGTTCCTTCTGTTGATAGGAACACTTGATGATAGAGAAAGCTTTAACCGAATGTTGGGAGAAATAATCTCTAGTAGCGTTACTACATTTATACAACTACCATCAGCTCAGGTGAGTACAACCCTTCATTTAGATAGATAAATTGTAAAAAAAAATTAAAAATATTTTGATGAGTGAATGTTTTCCTCAAATAAATGACAAAGAGCTAATAAAACGTAGGGGTGACTGAACTTGATGGAATGGAAATGAATGCCTTTGTGATTTCACCATAACATTAAACCCTACTTTGGTGGTCATTTTGGATTGGAAAATTGTGGCCATTTTGAATTGGAAAATTGTGGCCATTTTGAATTGGAAAACGGTGGCCATTTTGGATTGGAAAACGGTGGCCATTTTGGATTGGAAAACGGTGGCCATTTTGGATTGGAAAAACGGTGGCCATTTTGGATTGGAAAACGTGGTCATTTTGGATTGGAAAAACGGTGGTCATTTTGGATTGGAAAACGGTGGCCATTTTGGATTGGAAAACGGTGGCCATTTTGGATTGGAAAACGGTAGCCATTTTGGATTGGAAAACGGTGGCCATTTTGGATTGGAAAACGGTGGCCATTTTGGATTGGAAAACGGTGGCCATTTTGGATTGGAAAACGGTGGCCATTTTGGATTGGAAAATTGTGGCCATTTTGGATTGAAAAATTGTGGCCATTTTGGATTGGAAAACGGTGGCCATTTTGGATTGGAAAAATTGTGGTCATTTTGGATTGGAAAAATTTTGGTCATTTTGGATTTGAATACATCCTGATAGTGCAGTAACTTTATCATGCCATCTACATGTACTTGTATGTCAGGCTACTAAGAACTTGGTTGTCATCTTTCCAGTAACTTGACAATTTATGACAATTGATTTACTGTTGTATTATCATAAACAGTACAGATTTCATGCAATTTGTCTGTATTTGCATTCAATAAAGAATAATAATAAGTAATCATGTTAATGTCACATGAGTGTATATGTATTTATTGTATGGTGGTCTAAATTTTTGCATATTAATTTATTTGGGTCACACATTTATTGACACATCAGACTTGACTGCTTTGCATGACATATTTAGCCCCCTCAGGATGATTTCAAGAGAAAAAAGCCCACCTGACTTCTATGACCCTACTGTGATAGATTTATGATCACCCAAAATAAGGTATTATGGGAAATGTCCCACTAAAAATTATAAAAAACTGTGCTTAAGCAGAGTGCTGCATTCAAATGTGCAATTGAAATATGTGATGCAATCATGATAAATCAGAGATAGGATGAATGTGCGAATGTACGTGACACATTGGGAAAAGATGCACTGTATGCTTACAATTGCTCAAATTGTTTTCAGACCATGTCCTTGGCATTTTCTACTTTCTATCCTGCTGACATATTTGATGGACGCAATTCTAAGGAGCTAACAAAAGAAGACTTGTATCTCCATGACAACCATCCCTTTAATTTCTATAAAAATGGAGAGATAAAGATCATTCGCGAAGTAAGTTGAATCAAGTCACATTGTCTGTGTGAATGTTTTCACACCAGAATTTGAAAGTGTTATTAGTGTCACATTTTATCTGCTAAAACACAATACATACGTGTAATGGCAGATGTAAACTCAGTTATTTCTTCTCTGCTAATCACCAATGTCAAACTTGAAATTTAGAAAGTCATCATCATTGCCTAAATGTGCTTTTGTCATGCGGCGACCGTTGATGACTTTTTGCATTCCAAGCTTTTGCATTGTTGGAACATATCAGCAGTGATTTATACATAATTATATAAATGCCACGTTCGAGATGCCAAAATGGCCGACCCTTTGGAACACTAATATTAAGTTTAATCATTTTTCACAAAATTAAACTACTTACTTTTTTTTTT